TCGTTGTCTGTGATTGAAGAGGGATTGAGAAGGGCCTAATATCCAGGTGAGTCTTAGATAGAAATATAGGAAGGGTAGTGATTAAGTGAGAAGTTGTAAATGGGGGAGCTTAGCTTTGAATTGATACTATCATAATGGATTTGTCTCTGGCTTGATATGCCCCCAGAGTAGGAGAGTTTCTCCGAACTTGGTTAACAACTCTAGTGTGTTTTTTATGCTTTTCAGTTTTTTTATTGTTAATATCTTGCCTGTTTGTTTATGACGGATATGATGTACCAACATGTCATAGGACATTTGAGTTCTGTCACATTAGAATTTCAATTGGTATCAGATCAGGCATCTTATCTTCTTCTGGATGAGATCCATGGGGAATACTTTCTGGTTATGTGCAAGGTAGATTGGTTCTACTAAACAGCTGTATGAACTTGGAGAGTTCATGTTATTGTTTTAAAGGTCCCTAGAAGTGGAGGATGGACTGTTCATGACAGGGTGTGTGTTGGACATGTCTGTATTGGTTTCAGGCGTGTAGCTTTAGTGGCAAGCTATTGTGTTAAGGGTTTGATTTATTTTCAAACCAAGATTAACCTATTGCACCGGGAGTATGGTGTGTTTGTGCAAGGGTTTATGTTTCTGCTTGAATGTTGGTGTGGAGTTTTTTGTGTGTTAAGGATGCAACACATTATTCTCCTCTGAAGGCGTATCCCATGGTGTGGTGATACTTGAGGAGAGGTTCAACTAGCTTGCTAGAGCAGCCAAAGATACTTGAGGTTTATCCCAAGTCCACTCATAAAGGCATTCTTATGTGACTTTATTGAAAAGAGATCTAGTAGAGGAAATTTATTTTTGCTTTCAACTCTAAAAGGCCAATCTCCAGGATTTGATAAAGGATCTCTTGATTTGTTCCTTGTAAAGCAAACTGATGTCCTACCAGATGTTGGAACATCAAGCCAGCAGATTATGCAGAATCTGGTTGGACAATGGTAGGGTATAGCAGATGCTTGGGGGATAAAAAAATGTGTCTCAAATCACATATTTTTATAACCTACTCCTGATTTGAAAGAGAAGACATCTATATCTAAGAAGTTTCTATGATATAAACATGTCTTAGATAAGTACTTTGGTCAGGACATGATCAACATATTTGGAACTCTCTAGATTAGTTTATTTCTGATCTAAGTGAGTTGGTGAGCAGTGGTTGTGCTTTGTTATGGATGCTTGATAAAGGTATCCCATCCAGATCCTTTATATGTGGAGGACAAACTATAGTATTAAGAATTTTCTCTCTAACTAACATCTAGAAGATCCTTCTGATAAAAAGAGACAGATCAATGGGATTCTGTTTATGGACATGGAGTAGATTCTAGTTGAGGGAAGCTATGTACTAACCATAGGATGTGCAGCTACTGTATGGTTCTCAAGGAATTCTTAGCAATTAATAGGGGGAGTCATTAATCTGAAGCTAGAAGAACTTTAAGAAGTGTCAGACATAATGTCTTGACATCTTGGTATTGAGGATTTATTTTTCTAATATGACTGGTGGTTCTTTTCATTAATAGGATAAATGTTGTTTACTCTAACTTGATATCTCTTATCAAGTCTATGAGAGCATAAAACTCTTGTTCTACTGTAATGTAAAATTATTTCAAGGTTTGTCTGCATTGGAGTTGTGTCAACCGAAATTCTGTGGTTGACTGGTGTCTACACTGTTGAAATGTCATCCAATTCACCTAAGACGAGCATCTCATTTGTTTGAAGCAAGGAGGAGTTATGGGAAGTTCCTTTCTCTTCTAGGGTTCAATTATGTGGTGTTCTCACATAATGGAACAAATGTGTCTGCAAGGACTGAAAGTAATCCTTGTGTATTAGGAGAAGCATACTTAGTCTGAACAGTCTGCTTATGGTAAAACATGATCATACATTGCCATGATTATTGAAATTTTCTCCAGATACCTATTAGAGGGAATATCCTCTTTAGGTGCAGAATAATGGCATCCAACATCTCAAAGTGAGACAGGAGGTCTGAAGTTCAGAAGGTTAAGAAGAAGATTCTTGAGATGTTTGATATGCAGTTTTCTGCATATATGTATGACCCGATGTGGAAAGATGATTAGCTACTGTTGCTTGATCCTCTTGTATCCCTTGCAAGAGTTATGGATTACTATGGTGTCTCTAGACCATAGTTTAATGGTGAAATCCATGTGTTTGAGATTTATGTCGGATCCGATGTTGGAACATCATCTCAAAGATTGTGTTATTCCTTCAGCCAAGGAAGTTGTTATTGCCTAGAGTGGAGCTAAGGCCAAGCCACTGACCTAATCTGGAATATTTTTATGACATGATTGAATGTCATCGGCTAGTGCCAGACATATGCAAAAGAAGAATGTCAGACCAAATGTCCCACCTTGTGTGAGAAGGTAATCTTATCTGACTTTTGATAAATACTTTGACGGGAGATGAGTATTTGTCTGTCCTCTAAGGAGGTTGTGCATGAAAACTGATGGTGAATACTTTGACGGGAGACTAAGTATTTGTTTGAAGAAATTATGCAAATCTGCATTCTGAACATTGTGGTTCAGAGAATATGTGAGAGTTTTAAATCTTGACAGATTTGATTTGATTATGTGATATTTTTGTTTTAGATATATCTCAGTAAATATCGAAGGCCAAGAAGATTTAATTTGAAACAAGTTTTATATCTCCAGTTGTATATTAGTTTCTAAATTGGGTCTTGAGACAATTTAGAAAACTTTGTATTGGTTGTTCCAAGATTTAAGGAGATTTTAATGCATAATTGGTGAATCACTCAACTTATGGATCAAGAAATATTTGGACCAAGAATTTGAAGTTCGTGGACTGCAGAGGTGTATTTAAAGAGAAGACTTAACCTAATGTATCAAGTACTTTCAACAATTGTAAAATTAGGAGAAGACAAAATAGTTTTAGGTTTTGAGAGTCTCTTGTGTATTGTGTGGTGTAAGTGACCTTTGTATCTTTTGATACTTGTGGTTGACATGATATTCTCACTCATAAGACTTTAGGCAATGAGTTTATTATTGTTCTTGGATGAAGTTTTTAAGAAAATTCAAATATTGTTCTTAGTCAAGAGTCTTGGTTGAGTATTGTAATGCAAATATGATCTTCTTGTTGAGTTACTCATGATACAGTCACTGAGATGGAGACTGTTAGATACCACTGAGGTGATTTAAGAAGTGAGATGACAATTTCTCATATTTAGGAGGTTCCTAGATAGAAGTTGCATTGGTTATGTATTAGGCGAGAAGTTGTAAACTGAGACTTTTTATGCTTTGAACTAATACTGCTAATAGTAGACTTCCTTCCTGGATTGGTTGTCTCCAGATGTAGGTGATATTGCACCGAACTGAGTTAACAACTTTATGTGTTATTTATCATTCTGCAGTTTAAGTTTCAGTATCTGTTAGAATATGATAAATCTATTCAGTCTATCAACAGATGTTGTAACATCTGTAGTGACATTATTCTGATGTTGAGATATCAGTATTAATATTAACATGTGTTGCCAGTACCAAACAAATTTTTTTGGCACAATTAACCTTTTACTTTCTCTATTCTTTTCTTGTTTTCCCTCTAAAACTATATTGGATAAAAAATTAAAAAAAAAAATTGAAACCTTATCCATTCCTCTATGGTCTCGGACTGAGCTCCTCTCATTCTTCATTTTTGTCGGCTCTTTTCATACCTGTCTAACACTTATTCCATCAATCCTATCACTCTCTTCGTTTTACCTAAAAGCATTCTAACTCTCTGTTCCAACCCCGTCGGTCTCGTTCCATAATCACTATTCACACATGCCGCATTCACTCATCCTTCGAATCCACCATTTTCACCTGTCGGTCTTGGTCTTGTTCCATTGATTTTTGCAAACTCTCACCATTCTTGTAATTCTTCACTGTCTTCACTACCACCTTAAGTGAAAATGAGTTATGGTTAGATGTTTTAAGTATTGTTGCCACTTTGGCTATATAACGAATTGATAGATTTAGGGTGTTGCAACTTTGTCATTGTTGCCACTTTGTAAAATTTAATTATAAATTTGACTTTGAGTAAATATTATATTTAAGTAAATCCAATAAATCTTTTTATGTCTAGATTTATTGTGGCAATAGATGGGTTATTTTGTAGTGATGACTCTTATGATATTACTATTGATATAATAAGTAGTTATTGGTGGTAGTTTGTTGAATAACTAACTAACATTTAGTTATTAGGTGTAACTATTTTTTTATTTCCATTATTTCCGATATAAGTGAGCTACCTCACTTGTGTACAACTAATACATTTTCAATGAAGTTTTTTCTCCGTATTCAATTCATGTATTTCATATACTATAATAGGGTATCAAAAGTAATTTTATGATTCATCTTGCTTCCGCAACTTTCTTTCTCTCTTATTCCTCTCTTCTTCATCTTGTGATCATGTGCTTTTCTATGGCGAATCACGATGACCCTTATTACCTTCATTCCTATGATCATCCCGATGTTGTTCTCGTTTCATAACTTTTAACAGGTGACAATTTCAAATCTTGGCGTCGTGCCATATTAATGGCTCTCGATGGAAAGAAAAAGACTGGTTTTGTTGATGGAATGATTCCAAACCCAAAAGATAACTCTATGTAATATCGCTCATGGATGCGCAACAATATCACTGTTTCATCTTGGCTATTCAATTCACTTTCCAGAGAAATCTTTTCCAATGTCATCTATGCTGCAAACACTGCAGAGATTTGGAGAGAACTCTAAGATTGGTTTCAATAGAAAAATAGTCCTCGATTGTTTAGATTGAAGAAGAATCTTCTCAGTTGCACGCAAGGATACTCCAATGTCAGTGCTTACTACACTCAGTTCAAATACTTATGGGAAGAGTTGGGAGAATATAGATCAATGCACACATGTGAACATATTCTCACATTCTTGATGGGATTGAATGAGTCTTTTAATTAAGTTCGAGGTCAAATTCTGCTAATGGATCCTCTAACCTCTACCAATGTTGTGTTATTAATGGTAACTCAATATGAGAAAAAAATAGAGGTAACAACCACCTTGAATCCTACTGAAATACGTATGGCTTGCATGGTTCAAGCTAACAACACCAACATTTTCAAGAAAGATCGACCTACGTGTGGTCATTGTGATGTTATTGGTCATCTTAAGGAGAAGTGCTTCAAGCTCCATGGATATCCTCCAGGCTACAAGAAAACTCAAAGCTTCAAGACTGCAAATCAAAGCCATAATGTGAGTGATCATGGTGTTGCAGGTTCTAAACCTCTTTCAGAGATGCTAGCTATGACTCCAAAAAACTATCAACAACTCATCCACTTCTTGCAGACACAAATGACCAAGGTTGGCACATCTGAAGTAACTCCATTTGTGAATTCATTCATAGGTATAAGCTTTTCCATTATTGACTCTCATAAATAACATTTCTCTCAAACTTAGATAGTAGATTCAGAAGTCACGTCTCGTATTTTTTGTGATATTTCTTTGTTTGAGTCACATAAACCTTTAACAGATAAAATTTTCACACTCCCTAATTGTAATTATATACTTGTTAAAGTTTTATGTAACATTGCTCTTAATAATTCTTTGTTCTTATAAGATGTTTTACACATTCCAACATTTCATGTGAAACTCATTTCAGTAGGAAAACTACTCATTAACCCTAATCTAGAATTGATATTTCATACTCATCATTTTTCTACTCAGGACATCAAGCAATCCAAGATGATTGGCAAGGGTGATCTCATTTCAAATTTATACATCCTTAAAGTTGATGATGTTAAGCAGATAACTAATTTCCCGTCTTCATGTAATTATGTCTCTTCAATCAATAATGACAAATTATGGAACCATAGGCTAGGAAACTTGTATGATTCCATGTTAAAGAGTGCTAGCCATAATATTCCTTTTAATGTACCTTCTGATTTCAATTCAAATAAATGTACCATATGTCCTTTAGCCAAACTCAAAAGATTACATTTTCAATGAAATAATCATTTTTTTTACACAAAGCTTTGATATTATACATTGTGATTTATGGAGTCCATATGTAAAACCTACTTATGTTGGTAAACTGTATTTGTTAACAATTGTTGATGATTTCACTCGCTTTACTTGGAGTTACTTGTTAACCAACAAATCTGATTCTCTTATGAAGGTTCAACAGTTCTTTGACTTAGTCAAGACTCAATTTGGAAAAATAATCAAAGCTATGAGAACTAATAATGCTAAAGAGCTATCTATGACCAAGTTTCTTTAAGAACAATGCACCATTCATCAACTAGGTTGTCCTTACAGACCTGAACAGAATTCAGTAGGAAAGGAAACATCAACATCTATTGAATGTAGCAAGATCCTTGATGTTTCATGCCAAATTACCAATCAAGTTTTGAGGAGACTCCTTAACCAAAAATACTTTCATTATAAATAGAACACCTTCCAATTTTCTAAAAGGAAAATCACCCTTTGGACTTCTATATAACAAGCTCCCTACTTATTTAGAATTCAAAGTATGTGGTTCCTTTGTTACATTTCCACCATACCACAACATAGGAACAAGTTCACACCAAGGGCCATCCCTTGTGTTTTCTTGGTGTACCCTGCTGGATATAAAGCTTTCAAAGGTGTATGACTCGATATCAAAATATTTTCATGTGTCTAGAGACATTGTGTGATACGGTGGCAGAACCAACTGTTATACTGGTTTGCATTTTGTATTCGCAAATGTTGCGGTAAGTAAGAGTCATCACCGACTTTTATTTCATCCAACTAAGGAAAGGAAAAAGAACAGAGAAAACTTTTTTTTGAGATATTTCTGAGTACGGGGGAAGGTGTTAGCACCCTTTATATCCGTGGTTTTCCACGGGCTCTTAGGTACTTGCTCATTTTTTAAATTGCTTGTATGTGCTTGTTTTGAAATTTTTTTACTTCGTGATAACCCTTGTATCAGTCCTCAAGAGTGTGACGAAGTTGTTTTGAAAATTGTTTTGAAAAGTGTTTGTGTGAAAAGTTTTGTTTGAGCAAGTACCTAGGAACTAATCTACCTACTCGAAAAAGTCTGTTCATTTTCCTTTAGATAGCGCTATCCTTTTATTAAGGAATAGGTAGCATCGTCGTTGGAGTTTTAAGGGACGTTTGAAGGGACAAATACGACCACAAAAGCAATATTAGGAAATTTTAGTAATCACCCTAAAGCCTTAAAGATCTTCTTCCGAGACAACATCCGATTGGGTCATCTTAGATCTTTTGAGACTAGAGGACGACCACTAACATTCTCTATACTTTATGACCGTTTACCGAAGGCAACTGAAGTGGAGTAGACCCTAGGAGTGAGCATGTGCAAGTGTATTTTTTCCAGTGAATTGTCTTTCCATACAATCTTATACATACATCTAAGTAGTTTATAGTTTACGGAAATTAAAATGCGAGAAATTTGAGTCCTAGCTATTACATGGCTTTGGGAAGATACATAATTATTTTGACTGAAAATAAAATGCAGAATTAAAACCCTATTTAAATCTATTACAAACTCGGAGCATTTACAAATAATAATAAAAAGGAAAATCCAAAGTGTGCGGCAAATTAAATGTGAGAAGTAATTTGGCGACCTAAAAATATAATTTAAGAAAATATTTATGTTGTTTTTGAGGAATAATTAGGTTTACTATAAAGTCAACCCTAATTCTAATTATTTTAAATTATAACAAAAAAGAATTAAATTGTCTAAATTTAATTAAACTAATTAATTAATAAAATATATTTTATACAAAAAAAAAGATTTTTGATGTTTTTTATGATTTTTTTTATTAAATAAAAAAAATATAATTTTTTTTAGTTATTTAAAAAAGACAAAATTAATAAATAAAAAAGAAAAAGAATTAAAATAAAAAAGGTAAGAAATTGGGCCTGCGCATAAGCAAACCAGGGGGGTGCACTTCTGATTTTTGTTAGGCCCAATGCACACTGAGCCTAATCCTGTGTTGGCACGCTTGGAAGGTGCACCATGGTCTCTCCTTGGATTGAACATTGGATCTGTGTTGGCAACAATCCAATGGCTGGATCAATGAGGCGCATGATGGACATCAGGCTTTGGAACGCATGGGATCTGCAATTACATGTTGAGAAAATAAAGAAAATGCTGGGACCTGGGATCAAACCCAGGTCCTTGCACTCATTCCACGTTTGCCCTGCCATCTGTGCTATGCTACTTAGTTGTTATAATAATAACATTAAAGCATAATATGTAAAACAACGTGGATGGTCCAAAAGACACGCGATTATTCAAATGGCCCAGTGGGAGGGTGACGACTCATCATCTTCTTCCCTGTCCGTCGTCTTAGGTATCAGATCTATACCTATGGACAAAGCTCCATAGCCATAAACCTGCAAACTTCAAAAATCCATGCCACACATGATAAATTAATTTTAACACCAATCAACTCATATTGATCTCACGAGCATCATGTCATCAATTTCTTGGCCTAATTTTAACTGTACAGAGAAGCCCCAAAATGGCTTCTTAAACCCTAACCATGGCAACCATCAGTATATGCATCAAAACGTCAATCAAATTATCCCAACATGTTGAAAATATGTTAACAATCACAAATATATCATTCAAACATGCCTAAGATGCAAGAATTATCGTAATCGATTTTGAGAAAAGATGCAAACCGTATGGAGCCTAGGGGACGATTCTGGGCTTGGGAATGCTTGCAATGAATTGTGTTAGCTCCAAGAGATGTCCAGGAAGCAATTGGAAGCTTTGGAATTTCTTGAATCACCCTCTATATGAGAAAACGATCCAACACTTTTTGTCCAATTTTTGAGTTTTCTTTCTCTCTTCTCACGGCTGCAAGCCTTGTTGTATTGCCTTGTTTTTGTTCATTATATGTAGTATAATGAATTAGGGTAACAAAACTGACCTGGATCTTTTGGAATCATGGAGAAAGAATGTGATTTGTTTACCATATGATATCTTTCTATAACCATCCAAATCATGCTATTTTTGCCTCAAATTGCCTTGATTCGTTTTGATTTGTTTAGGCCATCATAAATAGATTTGATTTCCATCAAAATCAGATCATCAAAACAATCTTTGATATTTTTTGTTATTTATTTGATTTAATGTGATTTTTAATAAATAAAATAAATAAATAAATAGAGAAATTAGATATGGCTGCTGATTTGGGTCGTGGACCATGTCCTTAAATAGATACAAACCTAAAATGCTAGGCCCTTTTGGCAAAAAATACATTTTTGAGCACATTTGACTTTTGGCAATTTTCCAAAAATGGTCAACTTTGACAATGCATAACTCTTCCAATTTTAACCCTAGAGAGGGTTTCTTGGGCTTTTTAGAAAGCTTAGGATGTCCCCTACACAACCCTTTTGGTATCAACTCAATTGAGTCTTCCATGTTCATGTAAGAAGCTTTGACCCAAAAGGTGTTTTTCTTGACTTTTCAAAAGGACCTATAATGTAGAAATTCATATCTTTTTATGAGTGCATTTTTTGAACTTGATGGATGAATATGAGTTATAGGAAATTGAATTCCCTTCAAAATGAGCCTTGGATGAGAAATTTCTGATAAAGTATGAGAAAGTTATGCTTGGTCAAATTTGGTTGACTTTTCCTAAGAAACCCTAATTTATCAACTTTTGAGTTTGATGAATTAGGAGCATTCCTTGAGGAATCATGATCAACCCTTGATCAAATGATGAATATCACTTCAAAATGTTGATGTTGACCAAAAATCTTGAAGTTTGACTGTATGTGGGCCACGGTTGACTTTTGACCTAATACAGTCGATTCTCAAGCATCTAAACAGTTTGACTGAGAAAATTTCTTGTGAAAGGCATAAAACTTGGCAAGGATGATCTTTATGACATATTAGGATTGTGGATAGCATATGAGGCCTTTGGAGCTCACCCATATTGATGAAAATGGAAACCCTTGTTGGAGGTTCATTGCTTTAGGAGAGAGTTTGTCTGGTCAACTCTTGAGCATTCTTGAGCAAGTTAAGGGTCTTGATGAGCATATGTTGAGTAAAATGGAAGGGAAAATTTTGAGGTACAACAGCTGCCCCTGTTCAAACTTCTTACACCTGAGGATGTAGATTGGCTTGCCTGCCTTTCATGATCTGAAGGTGGGAGATGATTGAACACTAGAGTGCCCAGAAATTTGCACTCGCATGCAGTGCCTGGTGATTGGTGATATCGGCAATGGGCTTACAGATTCCATTTGGAAGTCGGTAGAGAATTGTTGGAGATGGGCTTAAAGATGCCATCCATAAAAGATATCGGTTGTATAAAATATTCCTTCGTGAGAATTCTTGTACCTGCCGTTGAGGAGGACTTTGTCGGGGAATGTTGATTTATGTCTTGGGAAATTAAGTCTAGGAGCTTCGGTTTTCAATTACTCTACAGGAGAATTACCTCCTGGTTGAGGAAGTGGAGATAAACTACATATCTGGTCAGGGTCCAGGCTGCACTCGTATCTGGTCAGGTCCAGGTCTTACAATGTTATAAACTGCTGTCTAGAGATAAGAGAGAAGGAACCTGGATAGTAGGGTTGCTTCGAAATGAGTGCCTGGATAGTAGGGCTATGAGAAGGAACCTGGATAGTAGGGTTACTTCGAGATGAGAGCCTGGATAGTAGGGCTATGAGAAGGAACCTGGATAGTAGGGTTACTTCAAGATGAAAGCCTGGATAGTAGGGATTATGGTAAGGAACCTGGATA